TTACTGAAATTTTAGCTCCTGCCAAACTGAACACATGGGGAAAACAAAACTTTCAGCATGCACTGATGAGTACTTTTTGGCAAGCAGCCTCATGGCAGCATCTTCAGGCCCAGGACTGGATCCTTCAAGGAAATCATTGAGAATTCTGCAGGGAAAATCCTGTGAAATCCCATTGTTTTGAGTCAGCTTTCCCCTGCTTGAGTCATTCCATGGCCAGGGGCACAGGGTGTTAAAAACATTGTGATCCCAGCAAGGAAGGCTTGAGCAGAGAACCCCTGCTTTGACTTGGTGTTCTCAGAATGATTCAGGTTGCAATAGTCACGTGTGTGAATTCTTTGCTTCTTTTTGCCAGGATCAGGATTAAATGGCAAGATGGAATTTCTTGTTGGGACTCAGATGTTTATTAGTTCTTATCTCTGTCACAGTCTCACAAACCCTGAGTTCTGCAGCACTTCACTCTAACAAACTAAAAATGGAGCCCCCTCTCTCTCTTTACAAGGCCTTTGAAGGATAAACTGTCCAATTAAAAAATTACACCTGAATTATTTTTACTTTTAACCCAATAATCAGCCACCCCTGCCTGCAATGGGGACTTTTTTATCCAATTACACAAAACCACCCAAACCCATGAAGAAGAAAGTGAAGAAGAAGGACCAGCCTCCACCCTAAAACCTCTATCTTGCCTTATATATATTACTATATTGTAAAACTCTGAGTTTTCCACTCTGTGATATCACACACTTCTATTCAAACTCCACACCATAATCCCAGTTCTATCACTCCATTTTGGAAGCTTCTCCACCGCCTCAAGTCAGTGCAATGTTCTCTTGGGGGTCAGTGCCTGTCAGCACAGAAAGTCTAAAATTCTCAGTAACCAGGGTTCCAACAGAATGGCTCTTAAAAATCTTTTAGTCTCATCCCCCTGCCATGGGCAGGGACACCATCCACTATCCCAGGTTGCTCCGAGCCCCATCCAACCTGGCCTGGAACACTTCCAGGGATCCAGGGGCAGCCACAGCTTCTCTGGGCACCTTCCCAGATGTTTTCCAGGGGTGCTCATCCCCTTCAGCAATGCCTTAAACCCTCTCCTTCTCCCTCTGCCCAGCCTCCAGTTCAAATTCCTCATTCAGCATGGACATAATGATTTTCCCTTATGTGTGTGTGTGTATGAGCTGTATGGAGTGCAGCTCAGCCTTTCAGCTGGAGAAAACCCCACCAAACCCAAGAAATCAGACAACAAACAGGGAATCTTTGGCCTGATGCTGTTGGTGATCCATCAGAGGAGCAGCTAACCAAAAATCACCCCCATCAAGGGATCAGACATCAGCACCTCCACTGCTGTGGGTGTCTCTGGCAGCCCCTTCTGCCCTCTCCATCAATGTCAGGCTCCAATCCTCCAATTTCTGTGGCGCCAATCTCCCAAGGAAAATGCCACTTTTGATCCAGCAGCTGTGTTACCATACTCTCCTTATCAGTGGAAGGAGAACAGAACGTGTCAGTTTGTCCAACCTCCTATATCCACAGGAGCTGCCAATCCATGGGGATTGCAGAGCCTGCAGTTATGGCAAGCAGATATCACAGAATTTCCCATCTTTTGGGAAATTCAGAAATATCCATGTATCACTGGACACCTTTTCAGGTGCAGGTTTTGCCTCCTTGCATACAGGAGGAACAGCCAAGCATGTTTGCCATCACTTTTTGCAGGCATTTGCTTCACTATGTGGGCCTCCAGAAATAAAAACAATATTCCAGCCTACACAGGGTAAAAAGGAGCCACATTTTAATGGATTGGGGTGTTTGTCACACCTTTGGCATTCCATGGCAATCATTGAGAGAACACATCACACTTTGGAATCCCTCCCTGCCAAGCTGACAGTCAGGGCAAGCATCTGTAATTGCTTTTGATGAAAAAGTGACTCAGTTTTGCTTGTTCAAAGTGGCAAAGCACTCTCCATGATCATCGTTCGTTTTTCTGCTCTTGCATTTCCTTCCTCTAAGAATCCTGGAAGTGAACAACGTGCTCTAATATGCAAAACAAAATATTTGTTATTTCTCTGCTGTAAAACCTTATGCAAACATGAAAGGTAGTGATACAAACTATGATTATCAACTTCCTTTAAGGCTGATCCTTCTATTTTTCTATTCTGGAGCATCCCCAGCAGTGCCTGCCCTCTTTGGGCGGTGTCATCAGCACCACCCTTGTCCCCAGCTTGAGCTGAGCTAAGATCAATGTCAAAAGCAGCAGACGGAGGAAGGAGCTGTGTTCCTTGACCTCACAGACGTGTAACAACAAGCTCCATCAGCCACAGCAGTTTGTGTCCCAGCCAGGGATGTTTTCCTCTCTTTGCTGATCCATTTGTTCCCTCTGTCACTGCCTGAACGTGCTGCAAGCAGGATAAAAACCAGCCTGCATTGCTGGGCTTGTTTCTGCTTCACTCACTGCGGATTGGCAGAAAAGCTCAGGTGTTATTTTGGCAAAAATCCACCCCTCCCATTTTCCATCTCCTCCTTTGCCCACATTTTTTTTGTGATTTAAAATCAATTTTTGAGGAGAAGCTTTAAGGCAGGGGTGATCCCCTGCTGCAGTTGGGTGTTTGAGTGATTCCCCATTGTATTTGCATTGGAAGAAATGATGAATCTGACTCCATGTTCTCAAAGGCTAATTTATTATTTTATAATATATAAAAACTATATAAAATATATATTCAAGTATATGCAATACATATAACATATTAATTAATACACATTAATTAATATATATTAATTAATCAATATATAAAAATAATATATTAATATATAGTGTATTATATATTAATGTAATTACAACATATATTAATATAAAACTAATGTTACTTTTATATATTAATATTAATAATAAACGGTATTAATATTTTATTTTAATATTAATGTTAATTATAATTTATATCAATATTTTTATGATCATTTTATAATATTATAGTAAAGAATACCATACTATACTAAAGAATACTGAAAGGACACTTACTAAAAGGCTAAAAAACTAATAATGAAAACTCATGACTCTTTCCAGAGTCTTGACGCAGCTTGGCCCTGATTGGCCAATGAGCCAAAACAACTCTCAGCAGAACCCAATGAAACAATCACCTGTGGGTAAACAATCTCCAAACACATTCCACATGAGCAAAACACAGGAGAAGCAAATGAGATAATTATTGTTTTCTTTTTCTCTGAGGCTTCTCAGCTTCCCAGGAGAAAATTTTTTTTCAGAGAATGTGAATGCCACAGTTCCCCTTGGTTCAGTTTTGCCCTGTGTGAAGGGGAGTAACAAACTCTGCCCTGAGTCATGGCACTGCCCTGCCCTTGAATTTTTCCCAGTATCTTCCTAAAAGCAAGGGCATCAGAGCACTTCGTAGCCAGTGATTACATTTTGACTGCGATAAATTTGCTGAAAAATCCAATTCTGGTGGGATCATCATCACTTACAAGTTCCAGCTGAGTTTGGGAGAGACTTTAAAGCAGTAAATGAAATGGGAAAAAGGGATAAAATTCTTCCAGCTCTCCTGGCAGGTCCCTAAAGGCACTATATGGGACCAAAGCTCCTCCAGCCCCACGGTTCTTCAGCACAGTACTCAGGAATTTCACTGAACTTCACAGATAGACAAAATAAAATAACATTTTGCATTAAATAACCTCCAGTTCAAGAGCAGGATGAGCATCCCTGCCCAGGATCTCAGCTGGCCCCAGTGAACTGCAGCAAGGGCATCCTCCTGCAGCTCCCCTCACCCCAAACCTTCAGCTGCTGCTCTTGGGCTCTTTGCTTTTCAGAGTAAAACCCTCTGAGGAGGGAACATGGGCAGGAGAGGGGACTGGGGAGTGTGGGGGGCCTGGCAGGATTTTGGCAGCACCTGGGTAAAACAGACAAAGCACATGGGTAAAACACCAGATAAAGTACCATGAGCTTCACTATCCACGTGGGTTTCCACGGCTCCCACACATCCATCACTGCATTTAATTCATTATTTTCCCAAGCTGCTTAACAGGAATGACCTGTTCTCAGCTGAGGGAAGGTAATTAAAATAAAAAGGAAAAATAGACAGTGAGCATTGAGAAATTCTGGTTAAAATCTCAGGGTGTTGATTTTGCATTTTCATTTGAAAAGAAGAAGGAAAAAAAAATTACAGGCCAGGCTGCTCTGCTCCCTTGTGCCCTGTGGGACCTGGGAAAAGCAAAGTCATGAGAGATGTTGGTGCTTTGTGGCTGAAAACATGAACTGGTTGGGATTTTCCAGGGATGAATATTTTCTCCTGGGTGCAACCTGGTCTAGTGGAAAGTGTCCCTGCCCATGGCTGGGGGATGGAACCAGAAGATCTTTAAGGCCCTTTCCAACCCAAACCCTTCTATGATCCTTTGCTTTTATGAACTAACAAATATGACTCACTTTTACCAATATTCTCAGTTAGTTTTGTCCTAAAGCTGCTTTTTTTTCCAGCAGCGTCCTCAGGCAGTAGCATCAAAGGTAGGGGAAACTCCTAGGCAAGGCTTTATTTCCAGGCCAGGCTTTACACCTAGGCCAGGCTTTATTCCCTGGCTGCTTCTCCCATGCAGGATGGGAGACACTTTAACCCTTCTGGAGTTCCAGGGACTGAATTTCCTTCCAAAACCTGAAGATTTAGCACAAGAACTGCTTGAAGAAATACCTGCAGGCCAGCTGAGGTGGTGGTCCTGGCTGAAAATCTCTTGTAGGTAAAAACCAAAGTTGAGGTGGTGGCCCTGGCTGAAAATCACTCGTAGGTAAAACCCAAAGTTTCTCCAGGGCTTGGCACTGGCTCCAGAGCTGCTTCCCCATCTGTCCTCCCTGCAGGGGAATGGCTGGGAAGGGTCAATGTTTAACCAAGGTGGGAAGGACATGTGTGGGAGCTGGCAGGGCCCTGGCTGGCTGACAGAGATCCCTCTCCACGCTCAGGAGGGAGGATGGTTCCTGAGGGCTTTTCCTGCTCCCCCCAGAGCCCAGGCTCTGCAGGATGGGCCTGAGCTCCTCCAGGGTGACCAGGGTGGCCCCAGTGCCCACCCAGGGGGATGTGCCCGCTCTGGGTGCCCTGCAGGGGCTGCCCACAGAGCCAGGCCAGGCCCCAGCCTGGGGAAGACCAATATTCCAGCTGGAACTGCCTCCCCTGAGGGAGACCTGGTACGGGAGAGCCTCGGCAGGTGAGGGGGCATTGCTGGGACGTTGTTGTCACCTGGGATCACTGAGGCTGTGGCTGTGCTGGCTGCACTGGGGGTGGGTGCAGGGGGGGGCTGTGCTGCCTCAGCTGCTTTGTGCCATTTGTGCCATTTCCAGAGTGAAAAAAATGCCAATCACTTGTTTTTAGAATTTTAAAAGTTTAATAGTAATGAAATGGTTATAAGAATAGTAATATAATTAGAGTAATAATAGTTTGGACAATTTTAATTAGGACAATATGAGACAATAAGAACAAAGAGTTACAGACAGTCCGGGTACCTTTTCTGGGCAAAATAAGCCCGAAAAAAGACCCACGTTAACAGAGGATTACCCCTTAAAAGCAACAGCCTGTTGCATATTCATACACCTCATCCATGATGCATAAATTCCATTCAAACACAGGATTCTGTCTGGTCAGTGTCAACTTCTTCCTCTGAATCCTGGCAGCATCTTCAGGACTGAGTGAGGCAGGAAGAAGTTCATTTCTTCTGATAATGGAGCAATAAATTCTCTTTCTCTGAAAGATTTAGGTGTCCTGTGGCTTCTATCTCAGTGTGAGACCTTTCTTTAGAAAAAAAAGTATCCTACATAGCATAGTTTCTATTTTAACCTCTTGTTATAACCTAAAACTATATTTAACACTCTACTTAAGAAAATTAACACAGCATAGCATTCTAACATAACACATCTAATATTAATTTTAATATTTGCGAAAATCCAATCATAAAATAAGCATTTTTCACACCAGGATGTTTCAGCTTTGGGAAAACTTATCTTTCCCTTTCCAGTGTTTTGGAAAGTGTCTCACTCAACAGAGCCCAGCTCCTTGCTCTCATCAGACACCCCTGGGTGCAGCCCAGCATCCCCGTGGCACCCCCTGTGACCCCATCCCAGCCCTGTCCTGCCCACCTGCCCCTGCCAGGCACAGCTCTGCCCTGATCACAATCAGATCCTGGCCAGGTAAACTCAGCACTGGAATCAACGATGAATTTTCAGGAGCAGAGGAAGGCAGAGAGCCTGGCTGTGCTTCCCTACAACCAGCCTCCAAACTCCATCCACTCCCAAATCCTTCCCAGAGCTCTGCATCTGTCTGGAAGAGGAGGTGCAGCTCTCCACAAGGAGCTGGATGCTCACAAATGCTTCCCACAGCTCTCAGGGCAGTGTGGGGAGAAACATCCATGAAAACCAGGAAATGTGAGGAAGGGAGAGGCAGAGGGAGGAGGATCTGCGCTCCCAGCACCCCCTCCCTGCTCCTCCACTCCCAAAAATCAATTTCTGACCCACACCAAGCAGGGTTAAGCATTGCTGCTTCACCAGAGGCTGGGTGTTTCCTCCTGGATCGTTCATCAGGTGGCATCAGGAAGCAGTGAGAGCAAATAAACCTCTGGAGTGATAGCAGTGACATTCCCAGAACTGAGGTTTGGGGGAGAATACAAATCAGGTCTTGCTGTAGAAAAGCAGGTTTTATGTGCTCCACGAGAGCAAGAACAGCCAAATGTTCCTGTTCTGGGAAATTATCGCTGGGCATTTAACAAATGCTTGTTTAAAAAAAGTGTATTTTATTAAAAAATTAATAAATGCAATCTTCCATTACTTTCCATTTTCAGAAACAAGATGAGTATGCTCAGGAGGACTTGAGTGAAGTATTAACTCGAGCTGCTGTCTAAATAAGCAAAGCCTCCCAGAGAACTGGTTTAATTTGGTTTATGAGGGTTCAGCTTGGCTTATTTTAAACCCAGATTCCCCCAGAGGGGAGGATCTGCTGCTGCTGAAGTGCAGGGGTGAAAACCAGGAGAACAGGAGCCACAAGGATGCCTTGAGCTGGGGTTTGGTGATTTGGGGACAGCCAGCCCCCAGCTCTGTATCTGCAGAGCACAAGGACAAATGTCCTGCAGGCCCCCATGCATGGATGGCTTGGGAGGGAAAAATCCAAAACAACCCCAAACGCAAACCATCAGGCCTCATAAGGGAGAAATACCTTCCTCAAAGCCCTGCCCTTCACCTGGACAGGCTTCTCTTAAGGCACAGCCACCTCCCTGTGTCATGTCCCTGTCCCCATCTCCATGGGCCACCTCCTTCCCTTTCCTTTCCCCTCAGAAATTCCCTGGGCACCCACTGCCTGCAGACAGAGGCAAAAATTCCCTTTTTCTCTAACAAGCTGCTCTTCCACCATGTGCTCCCTGCAGGTTTGTCTCCAGAGGAGCCTCCTGTGCTGGAGATTTTCCCCTCAGGCTCCCATTCTTGTATGTGTGGAGCAGCCAGAGCTTCACTCCGTGGTTAAACATTGCCAGGGCTCTGCAAAACATTTACCTGGTGGAGGAGGCACCATCTCCCAAATCCCAGCACCTCACAGGAGTAGGAAATTCCTCCCTCTGAGGGTGGTGGGGCACTGGCACAGGGTGCCCAGAGAAGCTGTGGCTGCCCCTGGATCCCTGGAAGTGTCCAAATGTTCCAAGGATGGGGCTTGGAGCAACCTGGGATAGTGGAAAGTGACCCTGCCCATGGAAAGTGGGAAAAAAATGATCTTTAGAGTCACTTCTAACCCAAACCATTCCATGATTCTGTGGTTGTCTTCCCTTTCTTCCCCAAGATCCCAGCCTGGTGATTTTCCATGAGGTTCAGTGAAGTCCCCCATAAACTGACCTCCAAAATACTGCTTTTCTTGTTAAATATGACTAAAATTTGATTAAATTTGACATCAAAAAATGTGATTAAATTTGACATCAGCTAATGCTCTTCCTGCACTTTATCCCCAGCTCTCCTCTGCTCAGCCACACCTCACTGAGCTCCGTGTGTAAAATGTCATTTGAATGCATCTGTTGGGGTGAAAAGGTGGGATAATCAGATAAAATGTTGTGTGAAAGAAATACTTCCTGCACATGCAGGTATTTATTTGTGCAAGAAATGAACAAAAACCCTTTTTGTTTGCAGAGGTGTCCAGCTGAGAGCACCAGCACAGAACAGATCCCAGCCCAGATCCTGTCCAGGCCTCAGAGAAAGCTCTGCCCTAATAACTAACAGGGATCACTGGTGTGTGACACGTTCTTTTGGACTGAGTTCAGGCTCTGGGAGGGCACCCAGCCCTTTAATTCCTGCTGCTGCTGCTGCAGCCCAGCTCTGCCACAGGCAGCAAATCAGCAGAGCTATTGCTCAGTCCCACCAAAAAATAACAATAATCAGGGGCTGAGCAGCAGGAAAAGACCCAAACTCTGCCTGGACATGACTTTAACAGGGCAGGCAGCAGAGATCAGGGATTGCTTGGCCAGCTGGTGGTTTCAGGACATGGGATGAGCAGAATCCCTTGCCCGCCCAAATCCCAGGGCCTGGGAGAGGCTACAGGAGACACAAAGGATGGTGATGGTCATATTTAGAAGCACGAGTGGCTGTAGAGGTATTTAGAAATCAAAATCACACCCTCTTTACTCCTGCAGCCCACAGAATATTCTATGTGTCACTGGAACACACAGCCAGACTTCAGTGGGACATGCCAACCAAAAAATGGGGCACAAAGCTATTGCTGAGAGCACCTGATCACCCCAAAAGTAACTTCATCCATTTCTTCAACCTTTAAGGGCCCCTCTCCTGGAACACCTTGCCGGGACAGGATGGGACCAGCATCATCAAGCAGCACCCACCTCGAAGGCCTCAGGTAAGGCAAACTGAAATATTTGTCTCCTCAAGGCAAGTCTCTTAAACTCCTGGAGATCTATTTCACACCCAAGATAGCTCAGCTACCTTAGAAGGCATAAAATTTTCCAGCCTGGGACAGAGTTTTACCCAGAGTTTTACCCAGTTTTTGGGGTTTTTCTTTGGCTTGCCCAGCAGGGCAGGGTGATGGGCTGGGGCTGTGGGAGGTTTTCTGCCTCCATCCACCCTGTGCTGGTGGCCTCGGTGCCTTCCTGGGGTGATGCCAGCCTGGAGCACGGCTTGTAGTGGCACATGCTGCCATCTAGTGCCACCTTCCAGCTTCATATTTGCCTTTTTGGGGTGTTTTGGATGCTAAAAGATGTGCACTGTCATATTTTCTGAAAAATCCCTTTGCCAGTGTTTCTTCTCCCGGGAAGCTGAGAAGCCTCAGAGAAAAAGGAAAGCAATAATTATCTGATTGCTTCTCCTGTGTTTTGCTGCTTTGGAATGTGGTCTGGAGATTGTTTACCAACAGGTGAATGTTTGATTGGTTCCACGTGAATTGATTTCACTTAATGACCAATCACCATCAGCTGTGTCAGACTCTGAGGAGTCAGTCAGGAGTTTTCATTATCATTCTTGGTAACCTTCTGTCTGTATTCTTTCTCTATTTCAATATCACATAACATAACATAACATAACATAACATAACATAACATAACATAAATATAATATCCTTCTAAGAACAAGGAATTAGACTCATCTCTTCACCTCATCCTGGGGACCCTGCAAATACCACACTTGGCACTGGGGATTAGCGGGGAATTGTCCCTTTTAATGACACTGATTTTTCCTCCTGGATTTTTAAACAGATCCAAAATGACAGCTCGGGATTCAGAAGCAATTCAGTGCAGACATGGCCCTGTTGAGTCTTAACTTTTTTTTTTTGGTTAGGATTGGGATTAAATGTGTGAGATGGCATTTTTTGTTTGGATTTAGATGTTTATTCGTTTTTTATTTCTATTATCGTTTTATAAATTGTGAGTTTTATAGTATTTTATTTCAATACATTTTAAAAATAGAGTTTTACCTCTGTTTTTATAAGGTTTTTTAGGGATAAATTGTTTAACTAAGAAATTACATTTAAATTATTTTTATTTTTAACCTAATAGTTAATTATTTGTGATTTGTAATGTCAACATTTTTATTTAAATGTATAATATTATTTAAACTTATGAAGAAGGACTAGTTTTTGTTATAAATTTTTTATCTTGTTATATATATTTTAATAATATATTTTAATATAGAAATATTGAATAGTAAATATAATCTATTAGTAATAAATAAAATAATAAGTTTAATATGAACTATTAAATGGTGTATAAATATTATTTTAATAAATATTTATATATTTCTATAAATATATAAATATATAAATGAATAATAATTTAAAAATAGATATCGATATATTTTAAAATATTTTTTTAAATTTATTTTAAAGGTTTAAACTCTAAGTTGTCTACTATGTAATATTATACACTTTTATTTAAACTATATACTCATTATCTTAGTTTTGTTATTTAATTTTGGAAGCCTTCTTTATGGCCTCAGGTCAATGCAGTGTTCTTTTGGAGGTCAGTGCTTGTCAGGACAGAAAGTCTAAAATTCTCAGTGACCAGGGTTCCAACATGTCCCCATTTATTGGCCACTTGTTCATAATCAAGGAGTTAATTGTCCCCCAAATAAAATATAATTCACGTGTTACAAAGTCCTTTATGATGTCTCTTTTAATTTTTATTAAGCTGTACTGAGCTCCCTTCCTGGGAGGGAACTCCAGGTGGAACCACCGCCCCTGGGAGTGTTCCAAAAATCGTGTGGATGTGGCACTTGTGGGGACAGGTTTGGTGCTGGACCTGGCAGTGCTGGGGCAATGGTTGGGCTTGATGGTCTGAGGGGTCTTTTCCAGCCTGGTGATTCCATGGACACCAAGCCATGGAATGACCCAGCACCACCTCAGAGCCTGGCACGGTTTAAGGAGGCTCCTTGAGATAAAAACCCATGCTCAGAGCAGCCTGTAGAGCAGGGCTCTGCCTGTTTTCACCAGCCACCAGAAAAGGAACTTTGTCCCATGGACAGCTCTGCAGAGAGAGGTCTTATTTAGGCCAGTAAGAGATCTTATTTAGGCTGGACAGAGGGAATGGTGCTCCAGGTCTCCTCTAATTGGGATCTGCCCTTTGATGACCTGATAGGATTTTTAAGATTATTAAATTATACACACTCAGCTTTGCCATGAAGCAATCTGAGCTGTGGTTTGGCTTCACTCTGGTCTTGCATGGAGCTTTGGGTGCTGTTTGGGCTCAAAGAGAAATACCTGCGGGATGGAATTACTGTCAAACTGGGGCTTTGCTGCCTGTGCTGAAATGTGAAAGATTTCCCCAGTTTTGCCACTCCTGAAGGACCAAATGATGTTCATCTCCCTGAGATGCCAAACTCCTCTCTGTATCCCAAGCAGCTGGGCCAGAATTGGAGCTGGAGGAATGTCAAGGTAGTTTCATATCCTGTTTTATGATCCTGTGGAATGAGCAATGTTAATATTAAAAATCCTGGACTTGCAGAGGCTTGAACCTGCCATCCCTCCCCAAGCAACCGCTCCTGTGAAGCCCTGGAGTCGGCCAGGCGTGGCTACAAGCCCAAAACCAAAGGTAAGTGCAGGATTTTGTGCCCTTCCCCAGGTCATCCCTGGCTGCAGGCTCCTTTTTCCCGCCCCCTTGGGACACCCTGAAGGGCAGAAGTTGGTGTTTAAGCCCTGGCTGTGCTCCTGGCCCTGGCTGAGCCCAGGACACTGAGCTGAAACGCTGCCATGTGGGTGAGAGGATCCAAAATAAGGGGAAAGCTTCCTGATCTCCAGCATGACAGTTCCCTGGATGAGATGGACCTGCTGAGCCAGGATATTTAATATTTTAGAGGCTGAAAGTATGAGAGGCACGTTTTTAAATGAGTTATTTGAGCACCCATCACTTGCAGTTGGTGGGGAGAAGGGAGAGACCTCCTCGCTCTCCCTGTCAGGAATTTGGAGCCAGGGGGGGCTCAGGCTCCTCCCAGGGAACAAGGAATGAGGGGAAGTGCCCTGAGCTTGTGGCAGGAGAGGTTTGGATTGGATTTTAAGGAAAATTCCTTCACTGAAAGCACTGTCAAACATTCAAACAGGCTGCCCAAGGCAGTGGTGGAGTCCCCATCCTGGGGGGATTTCAAAGCCACGTGGATGTGGCACCTGGGGACATGGGTCAGTGGTGGCCTTGGCAGTGCTGAGGGGACAGCTGGACTCCATGATCCTAGATATCTTTTCCAACCTTAACAATTCCATAAGTCTGATTTGAAGGCTGCAAACACTGTGTGCCACAAACAGCCCCTGCAGCCCCAAACATGCAAACGCCGTTCTTCCCTTTGGATCATGAGGTTATCTTGGAGAACCAACTCCAGGCAACAACACCTGGGGGGAAGAAGCACGAACACATCATTTTAATGAAGTTTTTTTCCCCTCCTGCCCCTGAGCTGTGGGATAAACTGCAAGCACAGTGGAAATCTGTGCTGAATTCCTGCAAGCTGGAGATGCTGGCTGCCTTTATCTGGGAGTGCCCGAGGGGTTTGTGAGCTGGTGGCTCTTCCTTTCTCTTTCAGAAAGTGCAGGTGTATTTATTTGCATCTTTAAATACCTCGTAGGTGCTGGGGAAGAGGGGGCAAAGCCTGAATCCCCTCCCTGGCAGGAGGCAGCACTTGCACAAGCTTCGGATGCTGGACTTGACCCGCAAGCGACGAGAGGTAACGCCAAGGTGGATTTGGGGAGTGTCACAGACATCTTTTCATTAAAAATCCTTTCCTTAGGATTCTTTCCTCCTGGGAAGCTGAGAGTCCTCAGGGACAAAATGTAAACAATGGTTATCTGCTGCTGTGGAATGCAACAGGTGCATCTGTGATTGGCCCATGTGGATGTTTGGAATTAATGGCCAATCACAGTCAGGTGGCTCGGACAGAGAGTCCAAGCCACAAACCTTTGTTATCATTCTCTTCTTTCTGTTCTTAGCTTAGCTAGCCTTCTGATTAAACCTTTTCTTCTATTCTTTTAGTAAAGTTTTAATGTAATATATATCATAAAATAATAAATCAAGCCTTCTGAAACATGGAGTCAGATCCTCGTCTCTTCCTTCAACATAAGACCCCTGTGAACACCGTCACAGGGGAGGGGATGGGGGTCTCTCTCCCATGGACCAGGAGGCTTCAGACCTGTTGCTGGGAAGAGGAAATGAAGCTTTCCCTGAGTCTTAGGCAGAGGGTTGGTGGGGAGCATCCCCAGGCCCCTGTGATCAGCAATTATCCTGTGATTTTTCCAACACATTGCCCTCATTTGGCCATGACTCACAGAGAAACCAAAAAATCCCTGTCCCAGTCATGTTCTGTCATGTACCCACTCCGGCAGATTCCATTTGCTTGGGTTAAACTACTCGACTGTGCAATTATTAATTCCAGGGCCAAGCCCCTAACGCTGCACCACGTAGAGCTATTAAAGCACATTAAAGCACATTAAAGCACATTAAAACACATTAAAACACATTAAAACACATTCGCGCCTCTGCTGCTTGTGTTGACAACTCATTTGCAAACCCAGGCGGAGCTGAAGAGGAATCTCCACAGGGAGGCGAAAATCAATAAGCAAAACATCAAGGAATTGAGCCCCAGGGATGTCCCTGGCCCTCCCCAGAGAGGTGACAGCACCGGCAGCCCGGACCCCATCCCTGCTGGGCACAATCAGCGCTTTCCTGAAGACGACCCTGGTAAGTGGAATCATTTTCCAAGGCGATGTAAAACTCGCCAGCCCTCCTAAATGCCATCAGAGGAGTTTCCCTGTGGAAGGTTCATCCACTGCTCCACGTCCTGCAGGGATGAGAAGCAGGTTCAGGGGGGAAAGGCTGAGTTTGCAGGACAAAGCATTGGAAATTGGAATGCAATCACTGAGGCTGATCACTTTTTGGGTTTAGGGTTTTTTTCCCCACTGTCCCTGCAGAAATGGATCTCAGCCTCCTCTTCATCCTGACCTGTCCAAGGGATGAGCCCTGTCCTGCTTTGCCTGCCTGTGAAAACCTCTGGCACAGGCTGGGAGTGTTCCACCCAGGCTGGAAGTGCTTAAATCAGTGAAAAACTCACTGAAGGTGAACTTCCACCAGGAGGAAGGGGAACAAACCTGGCTTCCTATTCCCTTGTGGTTCTCCACCTCAGCTCTGTTCCCCTTGGGGATAAAGCCATATTGCCAGACTGTAATTTCACCAAACATAATCCTGAGTTGTGTTACACCTGCCCCAGACATGGGGTCTGGTCTCAGGATTTTCCTTACCTGCTGTCCACAGCCATTCCCAGCTCAGCTCCAGCTGACTGAGCAGCTCTGCAGAACCATGATATTTTATTTTTGATATTTTATGATATTTTATTTTTTTCTCTCCCCCAGGACTCTGCAGGGCTGAGCCCTCTCCAGGCAGGAGGGGGAAGGTTGACCTGTGGTTCTGCCAGGAGCCACGGACCCGGGATCTGTTCTGGGACTCCTCCAGCACAGACTCTGAGGAGTGGGAAGAGAGGATTCACCACAAACCCACGCTCGTGAGGACCAAGACAGAGAGAATTTCCCTCTTTGATGACTTCTTTGACAGGGATTTCTAGTGGCAGGTGCCAAAGAAATGAGCCCCAGCTCTGGAGGGGCTGGATCCCCCCAGATGGATGGGACGGGGTTGGGGACAGTGAGTGTGGAGTGTCACAGACACATTTTATGAAAAATCCTTTCCTTAGGATTTTTCCTCCTGAGAAGCTGGGAGGCCTCAGGAACAAAATGTAAACAATGGTTATCTGCTGCTGTGGAATGCAACAGGTGCATCTGGGATTGGTGTCATGTGGTTGTTTCTAATTAATGGCCAATCACACTCAGCTGGCTCAGACAGAGAGCTGAGCCACAAACCTTTGTTATTATTCCTTCTTTTTCTATTCTTAGCTAGCCTTCTGAAGAAATCCTTTCTTCTATTCTTTTAGCATAGTTTTAATATAATATATATCATCAAATATTGAATCAAGGCTTCTGAAACATGGAGTCAGATCCTCGTCTCTTCCCTCATCCTCAGACCCCTGTGAACACCGTCACAGTGGGGGAGTGAGGGAAAGATAGGAAAAGGCAGATATTTCTAGTTAAAAAATACAACTTTGGGCTAAAGGGGACACTGGAATTAAGTTCTGTACCTGTCCCAGATGCCATCCTTGTTCTAGACCACAGTCCCCTGATTTCTAAAACAGGGATATAATTGTGGCTTCTGAAAGAATTTTATTATAGAATCAGAATGGTTTGCATTGGAAGGGACCTTAAATATCCTCTAATTCCAGCTCTGTAAATGCTGGGAGAGGAATTTCTGTGAGTGTGGGCCAGTGGAAAGGACATCTGGAAATGAGGAGCTCACTGATGTGGGGTGAGCAAAAATCCCCTGGGTTGTGTGGCTGAATCAAAATTAATGGGGAATGAAGCCTTGGATGGAACAACAGTGAAATGGGGGTAGAGAGAGGAGGGGGCTGGGGAAAGTTCTGGTTAACTCCAAATATCAAATTTCAACTGAAATTAAATGTTTTTCTTGCCTTTGAGTTACTCAATCCTCCTGTTTAAATTGGTGTTAACCATTTTTAAACCACAACCCCCAGTTCAAAATGCAAGGTAAAATGATTCATTTAGAAAGTCTTTAAATTACTTTTTTTTTCCCCGCATTTCTAAAATTCCTCCTTCACTTTTGTGGATTTTGGTTTGGGTTTTTTCAGTTTGTGGGGGGTTTTTGTGTTTGTTTGCTGTTTTTGGTTTTTTTGGTTTTTTTTATTATTTCCTCTCCTTCCTGTCTTGTATACAAAAATACATGTACTTGCTTCAGAACTAACCACCAGATTTATGTAAAATCTGAAAAATCTGGCTTTGGTTCATTTTTTCCCTGTCCAGGGTTTAGTGCTGGGGAGTGACTGATGGAAATGGAGAAATCTCCATCTTCTCCTGCAGACACTCTCCCAGGGATGCTGATCAAGCTGCAGCACCTCCCAGGGATTTTAACAAGCTGCCCTGTTGCAATCTGACATTTCAAAAACATGATTATATGAAGGTGTCTGATCTATCAAAAACGCTCCCACAGTTGCCATCTCACATAAACTGAATTTTTTTATTAAATGATCTCATTTTCCTTACAAAATAATTTGTTACCTGAGAGGGAACTTCACCCAATTCTCCTGTATCCTATCTGGTTTTCCCTGGAGGTCCATAAAAGCCACCAAGTTTATGGTGAATTTTTTTATTACATGATTTATATAAAAGGAGATTTCAGTTAAATATCACAGTTACTTTAACATGGCAAACTGGGTAAGTAGGTGTGAAAAATGCGTATTTTATGATTGGCTTTTTGCAAATATGAAAATGAATATTATATGTGTTGTGTTAGAAAGTAATGCTGTATTAATTCTCGTAAGTAGTGCATTAGATGTAGTTTTAGGTTATAAAAAATGTTAAAATAGAAACGATGCTATGTAGGATACTTTTCTTAAAGAAAGGACTCACACTGAGACAGCAGCCACAGGAAACCTGAATCTTTCAGAGAAAGAGAATTTATTGCTCCATTATCAGAAGAAATGAACTTCCCGCCTCGAAGGCGCTGTCAGGATTCAGAGGAAGAAGCTGACGATGACCAAACAGAATCCTGTGTTTGAATGGAATTTATGCATCATGGATGAGGTGTATGAATATGCAACAGGCTGTTGCTTTTAAGGGTTAATCCTCTGTTAACGTGGGTCCTTTTTCATGCTTATTTTGCCCAGAAAAGTTACCCAGACTGTCTGTAACTCTTTGTATTTATCATCTCATATTGTCCTAATTCAAATTGTCCACATTATTATTACTCTAATTATATTACTATTTTTTAATAACCATTTTATTACTATCAAACTTTTAAAATTTTAAAAACAAGTGATTGGCGTTTTTCACATAGGGGACTGGTGAAACACAGGGGAGGGAGAGATTTCCCCACCAGCTCTGACTGCCAGCACCAGCTTTGCCTCTGTTTGCAGCTGCTGACCATGGGCATTAACCCTTCCTGGTGCCTCCTGCTTGTCCCCCTCCCTTCCCACCTGCTCTTTCTGGAACAACCAGGGGGCAAAGCATCCTCAGATCAGCTCCTTGCTGCAGGCCAGGGGCTCCAGGTGTAGCAAACATCATCATCATCACAGCACTTTCAGCTGGAGACCTGATCCTCCCATTTTTCAAGCCAGAAGAGCAAGATCTGAGTCAGTTCTGCGTTACCCAGGACAGGTGAGGTTTGTCCTGCATCCCTGTCCCCAACTCTGCTCCCTCGCACAAAGCTGTTGTGGTGTGTCTGCTCTGCACCCTCAGGTTCCGGATTTCCACAGCCAGGAAAAGAGCAGGAGACACATTTTTACACTTATTTAAGGGAGTGAGACACCCATGGCTGACTCACTTTCACCAGTATTTATCTTTATTGAAAATCCCAGGCAGAGCAGGAGCTGGAAATCACAAAGCCCTAAATCAAGCTGGAGCCTCCACAGCCAGGCTGCGCAGGACTGAGCTGCTGTGTCCTGATTTCACCTGCTTTTGACATCCCTGAATGTATGGCCCATTACAGAATGTCTGCCTGCTCCTTGGGGAAAGCTGCACTTTGGAGAAAGCCCACACACCATGTGGGATCTCACCAGAAAAACACAAAAACAAACCCCAGCACGGGGAAGGAAGAAGAGGAGGAATCATTTTAATGAGAAGGAGAGCTGCTCATGGCTAATGAGTCCATGTCTGGAGTCTGTGTGTTTTAAAATGCCCCAAGAACTTTGCTGATGAACACAGTCAGTCTGTATGAGCTGGAAATACCCTGAGAGCTTCGAGCTCAGTGCTGAGGGTGTGCTGAAAAGGTCAATGATTTAATGGGCTGGAACAATTAATCTGGCACTTGTCTATACACCTGTTCTCTTAATGATGTGACACATCGTCCTTCTGTGTTCCCATCTGTCAACAATTAAGCTATAATTGGTGGAAATGCAATTTATCTCAGATAGAGCTGATTAGTTCTCCAATAATGGTGCTGCCAGCCTTGGGGAAGAGTGCTGCCCACGGAGAAGTGTCTGTGGACCACTCCATCCACATCAGAGCCTGTGCAGAGAGACTCTCTGAGCATTCATTGATCAACCTGCAGCGTGCAAAACCTGCTCTTGCAGAAGGGGTAAAATCAGCAAAGCTGCTCCCATCGCAGGGGGGATGGCTTCCCACTGGCAGAGGGCAGGGGGAGATGGGATTTGGGAAGAAAAAGGGTGCACAGAGAATGCCTGGATCCCTGGAAGGGTCCAAGGCCAAGCTGGATGGGGCTTGGAGCAATCTGGGATGGTGGAAGGTGTCCCTGGCCATGGCAGGGGTGGAACTGGATGAGCTTTAGGGTCATTTCCAATCCAAACCATTCTGTGAGTCTGTTAAACGCTCCTGGTGCTCAAAACTGTCTGTCTGTGCTGTTCTTGATTGTATTAATTCATCACAACCTGTAGAGAGGCAGGTGGCATCTCATCCCCTGCTCATGTATTCCAACATCCTTCCAGACACGGGAAATGAAAACATTTCTTTTGTGACTAAAGGTAAAACACAGACTTTTCTACAAGCTGCAGAAGTTGGGGGGGGGGGGGGGGGGAAACAACCCAACCAAGCTCCCACAATGTGTGTTCTGCAACTCAGCCATGGAGCCTTCAGGGAGAGGAATTCAGCTCCCAGTTCCAAATGCTGGAATCCTCTGAAGGCTGAGCCAGTCCAGGCAGCTCTGGGGAGGACACAGACTGTCCCTCACCACATCTGAGCACACACAGCTCCAAGCCCTGTGACACCCACAGGAACCAGAGTCTGTGCCCAGCACAGCCCCTCACCAGGCTAAAAATGTGTTTTTGTGGCTACCCCACACTACCCAAGGCTTTAGGGCAAGGCTGGACCCTTCCTGCAGGTTAGAGCAGTCTCAGCCCAGATTCAGCACCTTCAGAGAATTCAGATTATCAATTTTCACCAAAACAGCAAAGAATGGAGATTTTACACAGTTAATGATGTGGGGATGGACAGCAGCAAATGGCACAGCCCCTACAGGAGATGTAGGACAGATCCCTGCCCCAAAGGGCATTGGGTCTTCCCAGGGAAATGGTTGCACGATGTTTTTGTCAAACATGGCCAGAGCAAGACAAGTTCTTCCAGCTCAGGGTTAGCTGAGTTCTTCCAACTTCAGGGTTTTGCTGAAATGTGAAATCAAAATGATAACGCTCAGCCTGAAGTCAGCACCAGCCTGGTGAAATCATTAGCAATTAAATGTACAATTTATAAGAGGAAATGTCAATGAACTGCACTTCTGAATTTAAAAAATGAGCCGGGGTTGCTGTAACACCTCTGTTACTGTTCTTGAGAAAAGAAAAATTAATTACACTTAGCAAAGAGAGGTGTTAGGTAAATAAAGCTGAACAAAGCCCCACTGTAACTGGATCTCATGGACTAGTCTGGATTAATGGGATTTTCTGACCTCCCTGAGCTCAGCCCCACCTGGTGCTCAGAGCATTTGACCTGCTCAGGAATGTCTGGGTCTCCAGCATCACATCACATCCCCTTCCCCGGTGCACACAGCATT